GTGAGGGGGGAGTTCAGGGCTAAGGAAAAAACTGTATTTGAAAATGTTAGCCATGTTAAGGCCAACCTTAACCTGTGCCGACTGGGGAAGAGGATCACGAGGCATGCTGTGACCTGCGGTTACCCATTGCTCAACACCAGTAAATTCTTTAAATACATTTCAAGAGGAGAGAAGCCATGGGAAAGGACACACACACCTCTAAACTGTCTAGTTAGAACCAGCAACAATTAACAAACACCCCCACCCTTCAGCCCCACCCACCACCCAGGAGATTAAAGAGAGGCTTTAAGTAAACGGAGTCCAAATCTTGTTTTCTAACCTGAAGGAGCTTGGAACATTAAAGCTTTTCAATTAAGGCGACTGATTTTCAGTTCAGACTTGGGATCCAGTCTGTGTCTCTACAAACTACCTTTAGCCACCCATCCTCCATAAGCCAATTTAAAAAGCCAAATTAATAATGGAAAGCAAAAATAGATATTTATTCAGTGTGGTTGGCTACGCAGGGAAAATGAACAAAGCAGTCTGGGGAGGCACACTCTCTCTCTTGTCTGTCTTTCCAATTTGATACAAATAGGAAGCAAGAGATACAGACAGCTAAGCAGTCAGGTCGTGGCATGGTCCTCGCCGCCCCCCCCCCCCCACACACACACACACACACTGATAAGCTCCAGGATTCTCTTGCAAGATCATCTGAAAAGTTCTTCATCTTTTTCTAGGAGGCAAATTCCTCCTCTGGAGGCCCCCAGAGCTTCAACTGTTTCAGCTCCCTGCAGGAAATTCCTGAAGAGACTCTAATTTTAATAGCCAAAGAGAGGAGCCCAAATGTCTACTTAGAATGTATCCATTCCAGACAGAGACTGGCTGCTTCAAGGTATGGCTTAGCTTTCTGTGGTTATAACTATACCCTGCCTTGCTCACTTTGCACACCAACAGTATGCTCAAAGTTCATAGAATGAATAATATTTTGGATAACTTACCGCAAAGCACTCTTAAGGGAAGCTGAGGCTAGCTAGCCCTTTCAGTTCCCTCCAATTTCACAGCTATGTTCCTTCTTATCACCCACTCCCAGTTGTTCAACTCTCCAGCCTGTTTCTTTTCCCACTGCTTATCAGTTGTCACAAAAGAGGCCAAGTTTATTTACAATGTCCAGTGGAGCCTGAAATCTAAGATGGTAAAAGACACTCACAGGCCTCCAAACCTGCACTTCCTCGTGTGCCTTCAGGACCCCTGACAACTTTTAGCTTGCCTTGAATCCCTTCTCAGACTTCTGGGACAAGGGACCCAGGAAATTAGTGTACTCCCAGGAAACTCCTCCAGGGAGTGGAGAGGTGGGTACAGCCAGGGGAGGAACTGGTCCCCAGGAGACATTTACAGATTGGCCTTGTAGCCCTTGCAGGACAGAACGGAAACCTGGCAGCGGCAAACGTGACCGACCGTGCCTTGGTTATGTATATCTCTTGCCTTCAATTTAAATTTTCCCTTTGTAAGAAACACCAGATGAGTCTTTTTTTACTAAATCTGTAAAACTTTATTTAGGACAATGATAATTTTTTTTTTATTTCTTACGCATTTTAAGACTTTTATGCAAATATTTAATCCCCCCCACCCCAACTCAGTAAAACTTTTTTTTTTTTACAGAAAGATCCCCTGCTCTGTGTGGCCTGGAGATGTGACCTTTTTCTCCTTGAATCATTGAGCCCCCTTGGCCTTTGTTTTTCATTTTCTGTGTACCAATTTTTTTCAGACTAGTCAGTTAAATAGGATTGTGAGGTCAGAACCCAACCAATGGGGAAAACACACAGCTAACACCTGAGTTAGAATAAAAACCAAGCGTGCTTTTTGTCTAGGTATGTTCCTTCTGAAGATCAAACACACCCTCTTAATATTTGCCTGGAGAAGACACTTCGGCAGGAATGGTATCTGTTTCTATGGAGAGCTCACTCTTTGCTCCTCTTTCCAAAGTTGCCACATTGAGTAAATCTTTCTGCTTTTCACTATTTTTTTTTAAAGATTTATTTTATTTCTTATGTATACAAAGTTCTGCCTGCATCTGCACTTGCAGGCCAGAAGAGGGTACCAGATATCATTAGAGATGGTTGTGAGCCATGTGGTTGCTGGGAATTGAACTCAGGACCTTTGAAAGAACAACCAGTGCTCTGAACCACTGAGCCACCTCTCCGGCCCTGCTTTTCACTATTAATTTGGCTCTTTTAATTGATGTATTGATTAGGCAAATCTGGCTTTGGGGGAGGCAGAGCCTTTGACCCTAAATCTGGTAACAACCTCAAACAAACATTTGCTTACTGAGCAACATCTGTCAGTACTTTTGTATAGAAAATGAAAACAAACCAGCCAAATGGCTCAGTTGGTGAAAAGGTACCTGCCACCAAGCATGCTCACCTGAGTTTAATTCAAGAGCTTGGCACTATGGAACATAAACACACACACAGTTAATCCCACTGGGCAAGAATAAAACCACTACCACAATTTTTGAACAAGATGTTCACTGTCCAGGAAGCTGGACACTGACCAGGTCCATACCCAGGATTTCCAGAGAATGACCACTGAACTGAGTTGGCCAGGTGTTTCTGGTTGAAGTGTCTCATCTGCTGAGAGGCAAGAATTCCAACACACTTAATAACATATGCAGTGAAGCCTGCCTACTGTGATGGCTAATCTTGGTTGTCAACTTGACTATGTCTGGAACTAACTAAAACCCAAAAACCTATGAGGGATTTTCTTGGTTGAACGACTTGAGATGGGAAAAGCCCTGATATACCAATGGAATTTTCCTGGTAACTGGAACCAGATATATGCCTATAATCCACTCAAGACCCTAAGGAAGAAAGGGTGGAAATATGAGGCCATGCTGGACTACTCAGCAAGACCCTCTAACAAACAAAGAGACAAACGTGACTTCTCTGCCACATAAAAGATCATGCTTTCTAAGTCAATCCCATTCGGGTTGAAATCTCTGCTTTGCTGATTAATAACTGGCTGTCAGTCAAGCCATTTAACCTACTAACCTCATTTTCTTCAGAAAAATTATAATCTATAAAGAGGATGGTTATAAATATTATTTCATGATGTAATATTTCATCACGTTAGAACCTCTGTGATCTTAAAAACTGGTTTCTAACACAATCTTTATAATTACCATTCGAGTGAGACTATACACGTGTATGAACTGCCACTCTCACAGCCACCACAGTCACCAAATACTCCGCATTGTACTCCTGCACCCAAGCATAGCCTCAGGACACCTCCCAGCTCATGACCCTGGGGAGTCAACCCCAGGGGATGAAAACACTCTCCAGAGGCAATCCCTGGATCGGGGGCTAGGTCATTACTTTCAATTTTCTTTTCTAGGAACAAACCAAAAAATCAGATGTTAAATATAAGGTCCTACTTTAATTAAGTAGATGAGAGACAGAAAGCCCCTTGTTTTACTTTTCCCCTGCTCAAACTCATTTTTGAATTTCAGTTCATTTGAAGGACAGTGTTATTGACTATAATGAAAGCATAGTAGACATTTTTCAACCTCTTTTAATTGTGTGATTCTCTTTTTTTTCTTTGCCGTTTTAATTTTGTGGCGGGCAACGCGAGTGTTTTGTAATGAAATACTGCAGGCATGGCACTGCTGATCAAAGTGAAACATGAAACGCTTGACTCTTCTTAACCAAGGAGATAATAAAATCCCTGTTGATAATCTACTTACATGACATAAAATAAAAATCTTAGGGATAGTGGTCAGTGGTCTTCTATTTCTTTTTTTTTTTTTTTCATTTACTAGCTTTATTCACATCCTTACTACATCCTTATAGCCCCTTTCCTCCTCCCCTCCCAGTCCTACCCTCTCTTCCACCCCCCTCCCTTTTTCCTCAGAAAAGGGCAGTTCCCTTTCCCCACCATCCACCCCAGCTCATCTGGTTGCATCAGGACTGAGCTTGTCCTCTTCCCCTGTGGCCTGGCAAGGCAGTCCCACTAGGGGAAGTGATCTAAAAGCTGGCAAGCAAGTCCTTTTCTGCTGCAGTCCCCACTTCCCTTACTAGAGGACCCACAAGAAGCCTAAGCTGCCCATCTGCTACATCTTTGTTAGGGGGCCTAGGTCCAATGCATGGTTGATGCTTCAGTCTCACCAAACCCTCTGGGCCCTGGTTAGTTGGCTCTGTTGTTTTTCTTGTGAAGCTCCTGTCACTTCTGGGTCCTTTTCTCTTTCCTCCCACTATTCCCCAAGACTCCCTGCGCATCACCCAAAGGATGGCTGTGAGTCTCAGCATCTGTTTTGAGATGTGACTGCATGGAGCCTCTCAGGGACCGACTCTGACAGGCTCCTGTCTGCAAGCTTAGCAGAGTATCATAGTGTCAGGGGTTGGCGCTCTCAATAGGATGGGTCTTTGGTTGGGCCAGGCTTCTTCTATTTCTTATCAATTAGGGTTACACTACATTAAAATTTCTGCCGTATTATTATTAAATCTGCTAAATCAAATGTTAAAAAAAAACAAAAATGTAATAAAATAAATGGAATGTAAATCTAATCAGCATCAATCTCTTTTTTTAACTGAGCAAATTATAACAATGCATGAATGGTATGATTTGCTGCAGAACTGTGCTTAGTGGTTCTTGAACTATGTGAGAAGGGTCATTTAATTATGAGGTGACTCATCTCATTTTGAGGGTCTTTAATACATAAAGACATAAAGTATGTCTCAAATACTGGAAAAAGACTACGTACCGTTACAGTAATAACAATAAGCAATAGATTGGGCTAGAGAGATGGCTCTGAGGTTAAGAGCACTGTCTGCTCTTCCAGAGGTCCTGAGTTCAATTCCCAGCAACCACATAGTGGCTCACAATCATCTATGCAGGGATCTGATGCCCTCTTCTGGATTACAGGTGTACATGCAAATAGAGCATTCATCTTCATAAAATAAATAAATAAATCTTTTTTTTAAAAGAAGTATAGAATTATCAGTTTAGTAAAGTATCATTTTTTTAGCACAAACCATTAAATAATCAAGGCAACATTTATAACCAAAGCTCCTGTAGCTCATTTAGCCATTTCTCTAATAATCTTTTTATTCTCCTCGATTAAGTAAACCTTCAAAGTTATGGAATTTTAAATCTGACTAATGGTAAGCACAGAGGTAATACAAGCTCTCAGCTCCCAGGAGCCCCAGTTCAATGGAACAGACAAAAATGTATTAACCAGTGTAAATGGTTGCTTCTTTGTTACAGCAACTTCCATATAAACGTGTGGAAACCAAGAAAAAAGTCCTTGTGCTTGTAAGTGTCTTTCCCTGAAAGGGAAAAACAAGGAATTCCCTAGTGGTTAGGAAGGCAGGCATCCCAGACAGAAAGCTTGGGCCTAGGGAAGTTATGTAAGTTATGTGTCTCACTGATGTGAATGGGAATGGTCCTATAGGATGAGCAGTGATTCCCACTCTTCAACCTCACAAGAGAAAGCACTTGTTCTTCTGCTCTTTTGTGCCTTGATCTAATTGCATAAAATTTAACAGCAGATACAATGGTGGGATCCTGACAGGGCAACAGTATCAAACTGAGGAGAGCAAATCCATTCTGCCCTTAGTCAAAGCATTGTGGAAATGTGGGTTTAAACAAAAGGCCAAAGAGGAAAATGCAAGAGTAACAGGAGTGAGGCATAATGAATGGGCTGGAAGTGGTAACATAGGTAAGTTGGGTAACAGAGCAAGAACTCAAGGTATTAACCTGGAATCCGGAACTGAAGCAGAAGCCATGGAGGAGCGCTGTTTACTGGCTCGCTCTCTCCCTATGGCTGGTCAACCTGCTCTCTTCACAGCACAGGACCACCCACCCAGGCGTTGCACGGCTTACAATGGGGCAGACCTTCCCACATCAATCATCAAGAAAATGTTCCCAAAGACAGACTTGCCCTAGGGCCAAATGAATGGAGACATTTTCCCAAGTCTAGTTCTCTCTTTCTGGATGACTTTGGCTTGTGTTATGTAGACAAAGACTCAACACACTACTACAATACAACAAAACACTACTAAACAAGAACATATATCTTCTTGTGTAGCCGAAGAATTTCAGATTAATATCAATATCGCAAAAAAAAATAACATTCTAACTTTTAAGTCCCAAAGTCTCTAAAATTCAAACACTCTTTTAAAATATCCAAGGTCTCTCTAAAAGTTCAGAGTCTCACAATGTAGGCCCTTGTGAAATAAAAACAAGTTAAGTACTTTCTTATTACAAGAGGGAAGAGTGTCAGGGCACAGTCTCAACAAAGTCTACCAGTGTAAAAAGCTCAGCTTTATCCACAAGGAGAGCAACAGAACCAAAAAATCTGGGTACAGGGGTGTTTTCTGAGACTGATACTCCAACCAAGGACCATGCATGGAGATAACCTAGAGCCCATGCACAGATGTAGCCCATGGCGGTTCAGTATCCAAGTGGGTTCCATAGTAATGGGAAGAGGGACTGTCTCTGACATGAACTGACTGGCCTGCTCTTTGATCACCTCCCCCTGAGGAAGGAACAGCCTTACCAGGCCACAGAGGAAGACAATGCAGCCACTCCTGATGAGACCTGATAGACTAGGATCAGAAGGAAGGAGAGGAGGACCTCCCCTATCAGTGGACCGGGGAAGGGGCATGGGTGGAGAAAGGGAGGGGAGGAGGGAGGCAGCTACGGGGGGGGGGGGGTTCAAAGTGAATAAATTGTAATTAATAAAAATTACAATTAAAATTTTTAAAAAATAAAAAGCTCAGCTTTAGATATCCAGGATCACTCACAATCTTCTGGCTCGGGCATCCCCACTTTCCTGGTTCTACCCTCCGCAGCACACGTAAGTCTCCTATGCTCAGGCCAACTCCACTCCACAGCTGCCCCTGTCTGTAGTGGTCATCCCACAGTCAGTCCTGGTATCTCTAGTATTCTAGCGTCCCCACTGTCCCTGGGCTGCACCTGGGAAAAAAGCCTCTCCAGGCTTCTGTTTAGAGACTCTGATGCTACCACATGGTGCCAAACCTCGGCATCTCTCCACGAACCCTTCAATGCTGGAGCATCCACTGAAACCAAGGTTGCAGTTTCACCTGCTCTGTCCCACAGCTAGGAGAACTAGAAGGAAACAGTCAAGACCATTGCTCTCAAGCTAGAGTAGAGAGAGTAGAAGAATATGGGAAAGAGGAATAGAGAAAGAGAGAGAAAACTCTAAATAGGCTCATTTGAGGCAGGGACTGAATGCTAACCTAAATGGAATGCCATTGACTGGACTATGTGTGCCTCGACAGTGGCTAGAATTGAGATTTTTTTTTTTAATGATACCTTCCAGGCATTGCAGCAGGACATTCATGAGGCTGCATACCCGTTTTCACAGAGACCAAAACCCACCAAAGTGTCCATTTGTTGCTTTAGATTTGTTGCTTTAGCAGCAAAGACACACATATTCTTGTGCTCTTAATTTGCATAATCAAAATTCATTTGAATCATTAGCACCCACCCCCTGCCCTTTCCGCCCAGCTTCTGGCTTTGAGGCACAGTTGATTCAGCTCTGCTGACTTTCATATAAAAGAGACTCAACAGCCAGGCTCATAGATTCATGCTTTCTTTTTCTCTCCATCTATTTATTACTCTTTTTTTTTTTTTTAACCAACTCACGCTTTAGACATTACGACACCATTTTTATTTTATTTCTTACCAAGGGGTGGGGGTTGAAAACCTGGCCCAGTAAAGGGAAGTACAAACATTTTGCAAATGCCTGGAGTTGGCTCTATCCAGCCCAAGCATCCCCTTCCTCCCTCACATACATAATACACATACAAATCCACACCACATCAGTAAGGTAGATAAAACTCGGGTTTTCCAGCGTCCGATCCCTTGACTCCCTTCCTCTGGCCCGGTAAAGTTACACTCACCTACACCTAGTTAGTTGCAAAGGAAAGTGTCCCTGTGGTTGTTTGAGGCCGGCTGTCTTCTCTCCATGATTATCTAGTTGTTCTCTTTTCCTCTTCTCTCTATCCCTGGACAAACCAAACCGCTTAAAATTCCCCACACGTATCAGCTCACCAAGAACTAGCACCTATGCCTCCCTGCTCCTCTTTCTTGTAATGACTTCTCCTTTCCCGACTCCCACACCGAATACTGCTGAAACCATGAGTCAGAGTCCACTTCCGAGGTCATCTCCTTGGCCCTGTGCGATGGCTCAGAGGGCCAGGCCTCACAACCCGATTTTGATTCTTGAGACCTCCATGGTAGCAGGAGAGACTAGGTCCTGAGAGTTGTCCTCTGATTTCTACATGTATGTTGTGACACACATGTCTAAGAAATGAATAAGTGAAATTTAAAATGTCAATTACTTACTTGGGTTTTTAAATTTTTGTCATTTATTTTACATACATTGGTGAAGTGGAGGTTTCTGTTTCTTTGGAAACTCAGTTTTATCATGTGACTATGTATTTTTGTTTGTTTGGGTCCCAAGTGTGGGATGTGGTATTGTTTTGCCCCCGAGGAAAATAGCCCCCATGAAAAGGTATGTGATGTTGGTCAGCCAAAAACTACCTCCCTTGTGTCAGGGGTGTGGTTTTTGTGAGCTGGAAAATATCCTTGTGTGGACTCTGAGAGGGGATAAACAGAAACCCGCAGACAGTGAAACATTTTCTTCACCTCTATGCTTTTGCATTGCTGCTCTCTGCAATAGTTCACATCCTTTGATGGACTTCAGAGAGAGAAATGCTCCAGAGGACTCCTCAGGCTCCTTTGGCTGAATTTTGTCACTTGGGTGGACTTGTGCCATTTGGGCAGAGTCTAGTCGCTTCTGCTTCTATTGAATCTTCTTCCCGTTGCTGCTGCAAAATGTTGCTGTTGCTGCTTTTCTATTGCACTAGACTGCTGGTATCCTGATAACTGAGTTTGGTAATCCCCAAAGAACCCATTGCCTTTATCAGCAGGAAGTAGATAAAAGAGGTCTCCAGCCCCTCTGGTGGCTGCGGGGTGGGGGGGTTGGAAGGGAGGTAAAGACATTTAACAACCTTAAATAAAGTAGGTGTTTGAACAATCTAAGCCTGCACATCCGTGTTTTGCCTCCATGTATCTGTGTGAGATCCCTTGCAAAGGGAGTTACCATGTGAGCTGCCATGTGGGTGATGGGAATTGAACTTGGGTCCTCTGAGGGAGCAGCCAGTCCTCTTAACCCCTGAGCCATCTCTCCAGCCCTACTTATTTTATGTGCCTACATAGTTATTCCCTAAAACTTAGAAACCTTTTATTTTGCCTTCATTTACTTTTACATTGATAACAATGTCAGCTCACAGTAAGCATAGCTATCTGTTGTAACAAATATTTAATAAATATATAAATGAAAAAGTATGTGTTAATCTCTAAGGACTTATCTTGCTATTAAGCAGCAGCAAAAAATTAAAATTAAAAAATTACTTATTGCCTGCATGAGTGAATGATAAAAGAGAATATTCCTTACCAAACATAGATAGATGATAGATAGATAGATAGATAGATAGATAGATAGATAGATAGATAGATAGATACATTTGCATAG